ACTTGTCATTTTTATCAAGCCTTTTAGTGATTAGCTTGGGGTTAATGCATCTAAGGGTGTGCTATGTATTCTCATTTTTACTCTTCTCCCGATCGCACACTTACCGATAAGTGGACTTTTATTCTGCAACTGTATAAACAAAGGAGAAGCATCCGTAAATTCCGAGATTACATTTGCTCCACTGAGTTGTAAATGATTCGATTACACATGTGGCGCGCTTATTTTGTAAAAACATCTTTATTTTGACGTTATGTGTTTGCTATCATTTAATCGTAAAAATTTAATTGTACTAGAACTGTGCATTGTTTCACCCCTGTTTTAATGGGCTTTAAAACTGGAACTGTTTCAAAAATATTGGCGAGTGTGCACTCGTGGGTGGATCTCGCTCATTTTTTCTCAATTACCACAATGTGAACTGAGCACTGTGACTACTTTATTCATGGCTAATGTTTGTTGGTTATCTGCTTAATTTTAAAGTGGGTTCAATTTGTCCATGATGTCGAGCACTTTGTGTATGACTCCAATTACGCCAAAATGTCACCAAGAACGTTCGCCATTTTTATATAGTTTTAAAGGTTCCACGGATTCGCCTAATATCGACGTTTTCGACACTCTTGCCACTACTCTAAACGAATCAAAATGTGAAACCCTTTCTCGGGCGGATATTTCTAAGATTCTGGACACTCTTGAACTTGATGCTCCTTTGGTCGATTATTTGGTTGCACACGGAGCCATCTCAGCGGACACAGCAAAGCACCTTTTGTACTGGGACTCTTACTCAGAGGGTGCCATTTCAAAAACGGATACATTGTTAAACTGTCTTGAAATATTCGACGAATCCGTTGACTATCACACTGTTGCGCAGAATCCGAAGCTGACTTTGCTCATCAACGCCCTGAGAAGTACCGGACAGCACGCCTTAGCGAGTCGCCTGGATACTGGACCTCGAATTCTGCCATCACGTTTTACCAACTCGCCTGGGACGAAGAACAGGGAATATGAATCTACGGAAGATGTCGGTACGTTAAAAGTTTTGATTTTTGTGTCCCCTTCGACGAAAAGTGCAGCATAGTAACGTTTTCTGTTTCTATGATATATATTTGTGCTATTTCGAAATTTTCCGGTGATTTACTTAAAGTAAAGGATACAAACCCGGAGGTGGCCATTTTCCAGTCGGTGTATCAGGGAAGACTATTTCGCCTGACACTATGAAGATTTTAAAAATTTTGGAGTAATTTTTCTCAAGGAAAGCAACCTTATTTTTTCTTACTGCGACAAAACGTGCGCAACTACTTTATAGGCCTCGACATACACATTCCCTTTTCAACTCGAGTGACTACACTTCAACATTTTACAGCCTGAATCACCCTATGTTCATTACTGCGTCAGAAATCGGGGACATTTGAAGTTAAGCCTTATTTGCACCGTTTCGACGGCTCACTTCTGTTTCTACAATTTTCTTTCTGTTTACAGGACTGAGGCTCCGTATTTTTGTTTTGAATCAAAGGGTCCACTTTGAATCAAATATCGAAACTTGTGTGTCGCTTTCTTTCTCAGAGCGTTTATGTGAAGCTATAGCTTGCGCGGGAACAACTCCACTTGAAATTACAACAGCGCCCTGAGGCTCTTTACCCATACTAACTTCTGGGAAACAAAACATTCAGTGAATATTGCTATATGGGAACTTTCATCGAAAACCCCGATCTAAACGTGCAAGCGTCATGCAGTTCAGTGTTGCCATTGCCTGTTTTTCCGAATTGTGCTTACGGGGTCATATTCTAGGTAGAATTAGACTATCGCTACGGTACCGTTTGTCCATGTGATATCACCATCGTTCCCAATGGTATGGCCAAACTCTCGAATTGGGGATTCATGTTACTACTGGTTGAAACTGTACCTCTTAATGAGTCTCGTCTCCGCTAAACCTCCAACGCTGTATGCTGATAATTGGCAGTACATTT